ATGGTGCCCCGTCTCTTTCTCCGCCGCGGGAGGCAGAGGGCAGCACAGTGCCGCGAGCGGGCCGGAGGAATGGACCCGGGCCGAGCCCCCGGTTAACAGTAGGGGACCGTGGCCGGCACGTAACAGATGTTGGTTGCCTTCCTAGGAAGTTGCGATCAGATCCTAGACTAGAACGCTGCCGTGTTGTCCACGTGTTCCTCTTCGCTGGGGCACCGCGCACTCAGCGAGCTTCAGTGCCGGGCCCCATGGGCACCCCCTTCTCCATTAATGCGCGAGGCTTCCCCCACTGCACCGGGGGTTCCCATATCATCTCAGCGAGGCTTCCTCTCCTGCCAAAGCCACTCACCACGGCGCCTGCCGTTAGTGTAACTCAGACGGTCCTCTCCCCCCTGGAAGGTACGCCCCACAATGGGCGATTTTCCTCTGCGTCGCAGTGGCTCCCCTGGTAGTGCGTACACAGCCAGTATTTGGGGATGAATAAACATCTTACACTAAAGGAAGCGAAAAATAAAAGCCCAAGGCAGCAGTTTCACTGAAACACGTTCACCTCGAAACCCCACTGGGCACTTTTATAGACGGACTTGCGCAGAGAGCTCTGAAAACGAAGCCGGAGGGACGGGCAGCGCTGCCCCTGCGTTTGGGGCTCTGCTTACTACGTTCTGGACCTTCTCCAGGCCCGTTTATTTCCAAAATGAGAATAGTATCGCCCAGCGTAACGGTGGTTTTGAGGAATAAATGAGACCCACGGTGTCGTTCAGCATCCTGCCGGGACACTCCACGGTGCTCAGTAAATGCCGGCTTGGTATTGCTGGCAGCCCCCAGTGAAGGGAGGGAGGGATCATTCCTAAAGGAGAGGTTTAGTTTTCTGGTCACTCCACCTGGGAGCCTTAGGCAAATCCTTCTCTTAAACCTGTTCCCCACATCCATAATCCAACAGGTGGATGAGTAAATCATCAGCCAAAACTACTTTTTCCACATGAAATAAAAGATGTGAACATTGACCTGTGAAAGAAACCACACAGGGAAGCCTAAAATTGGGCTCCTGTTCACTATCATCAAGTTTACGGATATAAAAAGTAACACTCAGAAGCCATGGACATGTCTCATTTCAATTATGAATAGAAAACTGGTATATAATAAATGTGAATCAATATATAAAACAGAATACAAAGACTGTTTTTAAAAAGAATTGTTTATTTACTGAACCTGGGGCAGATTCGATACACAACCAAATTTAAATTTACATATTTTAATTCAATTTTGAAGTGTTTTCTCACACACGCAGAAAAACTGGCATGCAACAGTTGTCCTAAGGTAAAAGTCACCTTAAGCTGCTGCCGAGTATTTTCACCCAAGGTCGAAAAAGTGTTTATCCTGAACATGAAAACCGGTAACAAATTTAAATTAATTCTATAAAACTCGTTACTTGTAGTTTTACCTTTGCAAAGATCCAAAAAAATGTACAAGTAACTAAAATACATCAGTCACAACATAATCCTGGATCATCCCCACACCAAACCTGAGGCTCCTTCAATTTTAAACACATCATCAGAGACCAAGAGAAAGTCATTTCGTTTTATACAAAATAAAATTCACATGTGCCAAAAAAGACCCAAGAGAAACAAAACCAAAACCCTAGTACTGACAGTGCTGTCAGTACCCTCATTAACAAGTGGCCAAACGCCACTGATCAGAACTAAAATAGTGGCTGTGTCTCACTCACTGCAACGAAATCCAAGAGGCTTCGCCATGTGTGTGAGAACCCAGATTTCCCCAATGACGTGAATGCAGACCTCCACGTGCCCAGAGCAGAGTGTGTGCCAGCAGAGGAACAAGAGCTACGCCAGCTGCAACACCCAGGGAACTGGCTCTACTAGAGACTTCCTACAAGGTTAGGCAGAAATGACAAAAAGGTTATTAGCTGCTGTGTCATCAATTTAGTAAAGGTGAAGTCCTAAAGTTCAAAGTAAAAATTTAGGGGGGCGGGGGGGTTTGTTGGGTTGTCTTATCTTTAATGCAAAAACAAGATAGACAAAGTCTAAAAGAACCAAGCTGGTAGCACGCTCTGAAGTCACAGAGCTGCCATTAGGTGGGTAGAAAATGTCGATTCAGGCTGTTGTTTCTCATAAGAACTAAACAAAACGAATCTTTAATGACTTGAACTTCAGGATAAGGGGTCAAAAGAATGCAGTCATTTTAGTAAAGCACTACCCTGAACAAACTGCATTCTACTATGAAAACAGAAGATGATGTAAGGACTACATGCCTACATTTCACTTACAGTGTTCAAGCTCTGGAAGGGCCTGTATAATGAGGCAGAATTCAAATACATTGTGCCAATCAAATGTCAAATTCTCACTATCACTTCCCCAATATCTATTAATCACCAAAAAACATAGGCTGTGAATGTACAATTCAGAAAATAAAAACATACGAACTAAATGACATTATTATGACCAAGATGTTTGGTAAACAGTGAATTATGAGTTTCGGATCATCAGAAAAAAAGGCTTTTTAAACAACCCTCCGGACTTCAAAAAATCTCTTCAGGTAGTAGATCTGTCCCAATGTCATGGCAACTAAAACAAGAGCTTCGAAGAAGGACCAGAGAACCACTCTGCTGTTGGTGTTGTCGTTGACTGTTGACGATAAACAGATAAACACAATTTAATAACAATAGCAGAGAAGCATGAAAAATCGCCCCCTGCTCCTACCCTGTGTGAAAGTGACATTTGCACACCATTCATAGTACTTTAAATACTTTTGTCCCCAAGCAACTCAACAGTTAGAAGCAGAGAATTTTAGACTTAAATGGACCTTTAAGATTCAGAGTACAGTCAAGTATAATCTGCTTATTTCGTATGGGGAAGAGAGAGAGAGTTACTTGCCCAAGGTAACACTTCTAGGGTTAAAATCCAACCAACATTCTTTCTCCCTCACATTGAAACGTCCCTACATTATAATCTTTTTTTTTTCTGAATCAGAAAATTGACTTTTAACAAAATTAAGAGATTATTTCAAGATCACAGTTACCCAGAAAGCACTATTTACTAAATCAAAATGTGTAAGTCTCTTTAAAAAGACAAAACAAAAACCACATATTGATTGAGCACCTACTGTGTACATGGCATTTGTTCTAGGTGGGGGAGATTTCTCAGTTTCATGGACCAATACTGATATTCACTACCAACCCGGAACAAGTCTCATGATTTATCCCACTCAGTAGCTAAGGATTTAGTTCTTAAAGTAACAGTCATGACTATATATTTTATTCTGCTCGATTTATATCACATTCTTTCAAGTTTCTGATCAAATTCTGTAGCCTTAACTTTTTAGAATCACTAGGTAGACACAGCACTCAAGTCTCCTTTTTGAGTGAATTTCCTTTCTCCTAAATGCTAAGGGTCCCCACAAGACCTGCCACCAGGGAGCAATGTGCCAAGAGTAAACTGGCGCAGTACAAAGCTCTACAGACACGTCTACTCAAAAGATAGCCTCGCACGGGTGCTTCTTAAGTCAGTGCATTAGCATGAGGTTTGCACAACTTCCCAACGAGGGAACGGAGGCCGGCGGCGGGTGGTGCCGCTCCAGCGTGCCCTGGCTCCAGCATGCCCTGGCTCCAGCGTGCCCTGGCTCCAGCGTGCCCTGGCTCCAGCGTGCCCTGGCTCCAGCGTGCCCTGGCTCCAGCGTGCCCTGGCGGCGCCTGCCGCGGCCAGCAGCTCTGTGACCAGACTTACTTGCTCTGTGTATCCTCTCCCGCACTTCCATGTACTCCTGCTCGTGCTTCACCGCGGTCATGGCCACGGCCAGCTCGTTGATCATTTCCTCCAGCTTGTTCTGGTGAGCTGCAGGGGGGTTGGGAAACAGCACGGCTTAGGAATCTTTGAGAAATACGCAGAAAGCCATCAAAATCTTCCTCAGAGAAGACATACAAAAGCAGCTATTTTTAGAAAAGGCTCCAACAGCATTTTGGATCCCTGATGACAACTTAATTCTCAAAGCATTTCTTTAAAGTCCATTCCTAGTAAAAAAAATCTCTTTCAGGGTAGAAAACATAGTCCACAATCCCGACTAAAGGAAGACACCCTCAGGAATTATTCACTGAACTGCTGCTACGGGAAGCTCACCCAGGAGGGAGAGAGCGAAGGGCGGGAGCACAAAGTATCAAACTAAGCCAGTCCCGGCAACACCCTGGCACTGATCTATGAATATTAAACCAAAATCAAACCTACTCCTAGTGACGCTAATGTTGACTGAGGGGCAGAATCAAACAGACTCTTAATCTCGGAAGCTGAGCAGAAGACATTCCTGGGAAAACCCGCAGCCGCTCAACATCCGTCGGGAGCCGAGCGCCCACTCCCTGCGGAGGAGCAGCGGCTCTGCCAGGGGCCGGTGCCCTTTGGCCCGAAACGGGTCCCAGGGAACCGACAGCTCTGAAGGGCCAGCGCACTGTAGCTGCTCCGTGTGATGGCGATGAGGGAACAGGCAGGACGACATACGCCAGGAGGGCCCACTGGAGGCTCGTTACCAGCGCCCGGG